TAGCCAGCTGTTTGTAATGATCTTTGGACACAAAGAGTTCTCAGAGGAATAACTGTAATTTGTGAAGATAAAATATGATTTGTGTGTTTTGGAATATATGTCCAATTTTTATAAATACTCATTCATGTCAAATGTTTTGATGATAGGAGAAGTATTGTAAATCCAACTAAGTCCAGTTCTTTTGTTTTTGTTGTTGTTGTTATAAATATCAAGTAGTTAAGGGATGGATGTAGCCGAAATGTTTTTATATAATAATTACATGTAGCATTAGTCATTGCGATGAGTATATGGATTCGAGTTATGTGTGATATGATTGACTATCATTTATCATTAATGCTACTTCTTGTCATTTTATGCATACATGTCATTGTACAATATATTTCCGAATGCTTGGCAGAAATGAATGTTTATCTTGGTAATATTATTTCTTGCAAGTATTCCAAAGCGATTTTAAATATTGTGCTCATTTGTTACTCATATGCTTAATTTGTAGACGTGAAAGTAGCTCATAGAACATAATTCTTCTAATTAACATTTCAGTGTTTCAAATATCTACATGTAACATCCCAGTCAACCAAAATAAGTTCGACATACCCTACCTTTACAGTTATTCGAAACTTTGTGAAAAATTCTTTCAAAACATTGGAATTACAACAACAACCAAAACACACAGAGGGATCAAAGGCGAAAATAAAAACAATCTTGCTGCATTTTATGATCAATTGAAGTAAGGTGCACAACATTTGTTAAACAACTAAAAATGAGGGGAACAGGAGAAAATAGAGGGAAAATCAGAAACACGTGTATTTGATTTTGTCCCTTCTAAGTTTACAGATAATCTTTCCAATAGATCTAAGGAATATGTTAAGTAGTCTAGAGTGTATTTTGTCTGAAGATTTGTACATGTGCAAATTTATATAACTACTTCATGCGTTTTGCCATTGATTCTGCGTACATAATAGAGCTTCACTGTACTCTTACTCGGCTCATATCGGCCATCGTAAAATGGGGACGAAAGACCAAAACAAATGCTCTCTTCTCAAAGTTTTTGAATAAATACTAATACTTTATTTTAATACAAAAGTATTGATTTTAAGAATAACTGTCTAATTTTTTGGTTTCATAATGGGACAATCGAGGGGTTTGTGTGATAAGAATTGGTGGACTTATCGACCTATTTTAGACCTTTTTCAGAAAACTCTACCACACTGTAAATAACGTAAATCCAAAATTTATTACAAGCAATTGAAAGAACTACGTATACTATTAGTTACACAGTCAGTTAGTGACCTAATACGGATCAATACAGGGTGTGAAATGGAAATCCGTATTGGACGAGGCGAAGCCGAGTGCCATTTCACACCCTGTATGACTCCGTATTAGGTCACTAACTGACTGTGTTACGAATTTATCCCGCTGAAGATCTTTGTAAATATTAAAAAAAATCTATATGCATATTATGAAAAAATGAAGTTTTAATCTAACAACAATCAGCATAAAATATCGTATTAAGAAATTTAACTAAACTAGTCCAGGATGTCTGTTTCTGTCAAAACTAATATCCAAATAACTGTATCTCACTTCTATTCTCAATGACCATGTAGTGAAGGCCAGCGCCGCCAGCATTCCATCGGCATCGAAAGCAAGTTTATTGACTTGCTAGATAGCCGAGTGGTCTAGCGCGCTGTTCCTGCACTGCTAGGAGACAGATTTCGATGGTCGAGAGTTCAACCCCGGTCTGGGTCGGAAGTGGGTATCCATACAAAATTGAATTTTTTTGTGCTTTCTATATTGATATTTCTTCACTTAGGGCAGTTATCTTAGTTTAAGAGTTGCTGTAAAATGTGCATTACAAAAAATAAAAAATTTCATTACAACATGTATTCTTAACCATCCTTTGTTAAAACTAATATCCAAATAATTGTATCGCACTTCTATTCTCAATGACCGTGTAGTGTAGGACAGCGCCGCGAGAATTCCATCGGCATCAAAAGCGAGTTTATTGACTTGCTAGATAGCCGAGTGGTCTAGTGCGCTGTTCCTGCACTGCTACATGTAGGAGACAGATTTCGAAGGTCGAGAGTTAAACCCCAGCCTGGGGCGGAAGTGAGTGTCCATATGAAAGTGAATTTCTTTGTGCTTTCTATATTCATAGCAGTTATGTTAGTTTAAGAGTTGATGTAAAATGTGCTTCATAAATAATAATTAATTTCATTACAACGTGTATTGGTAACAGTTAAAACTAATATCACTTCTATTCTCAATGACCGTGTAGTGTAGGACAGCGCCGCGAAAATTCCATCGGCATCAAAAGCGAGTTTATCAACTTGCCTAGATAGCCGAGCGGTCCCGTACTGCTAGGAGACAGATTTCGAAGGTCGAGAGTCCAACCGAGGCTGGGGCGGAAGTGAGTATCCATATAAAAGTGAACTTCTTTGTGCTTTCTACATGTATACTAATATTTCTTCACTTTGGGCAGTTATGTTAGTGTCAGAGTTGTTGTAAAATGTGCTATATAAACTTGTTTTTTTAAACCAGTATAAAGACTTGTGGTTCGTTATCGTAGATAAATCAAATCGAGAAAAAAAAATGTTTTTGCCTGGTTGAAAATTTTCAAACTGGCATCCATTGATAAAATCACATATGTCCTCGGTACAATTGCATTTTTGAACACAATCTTCCCCAAAGTCAGGAAAAATACATCTGTACAGGCAGTCAACCCCGGTATATCCAATGGGGCATTCTATAAAATATTGAATTTTTTATCAATAATTGCTGAATTACTAATCAAAACATTAATTCTTCTTTTTTAATTTCTGCCAACTCACTTTATCTTACTTCGAATTCTCTATAGAATGATTCTCCTTTGATAACACCGTGCATTGTGAATATTTGTCATTAGAAAATAGGTTGTTTAAATAACATATGACAATTAATAGATAAAACAGTGACAATGTATGCGCAAAAACTTTTTTCTTTTGAATTTGATTATAATAATAAATAGATATACATGGTACTTACTCTCACACTTTTTTGATTTTACGTTCAACATATAACCGGAACAGCAATGTTTCTCATTTTCTTTGCTACAAAAGAGTACGTTTACTGAAAAAAATGAATGAATTGCGTACTAAATAACTAGAAAGAAGGATATAACTAAATTGTATTTTAGATCAGTGAAATAATGAGAAAACAGAGATTAGTGAGAATATAACTGTGGATAAAATATGCTGTAAAAATGGAAACAAAAAGAAAAATACTATAGTTAAAATGAATTTTAAAAAAGAATACACGAAAACCAAAGAAAATGAATTCTTTGACACATAAAAAGGTCCATAGAAAAGAATTTCAAACCGAGTCATACAATGTTTATTTTACGTCATCAGTATCAGAAATCTGAATCAAAGTTTATAATTAGCGTTTATTTCAAGGATGTAAACATTGTTTTGTATTTTCATAAACGGCGTTTGTATCCCATAAACTCCTCCTGGACATTTTAAATAAAGATCCAAAAGAGAAACCATTATCATTTGATGACAATTACCGGTCACTTTAGCCTAGTGGTAGAGCGTTCGCTTCGTGATCAGGAGGCCCGGGTTCGATTCTCGTTTGCGGCGCCGCGTCATACCTAAGATGTAAACATAGGTAGTGACTGTTCCTTTGCCAAGCGCTCGGCACTAGAAGTGAAAGTCACGGGTCTTTCGGATATGACATCAAAACGTAGGTCCTATGTCACGGTAGGCGTTGGCACGATAAAGAACCCTCACTACTCAATTGTCCTGAGTGCCGAGTATAGGTCTAAATTTGAAGCCCTTCACCGGCAATCGGTGACGTCTCCATATGAGTGAAAAATTCTCGAGTGGGACGTTAAACAATAGACAATCAATCAATCAATCAAAAGAACAATTTGGTTAACGCATTTTTTTAGCTAAAAAAACCGACATTTTTCCGACATCCCCCCCCCATTTTATCAGAAGTGTAAAAATGAAAATTCTGAAACCTATCTGCACATCTACAGGAAACAAACAATATTTTTTCCAAGAGATGACTATGCTACTGAGTAAAATGTAAGGGAGTCAAGGATATTTTTGTACAAAAACATCATGTTTTGACCCCATTTAACCCCAAGAATGATAATCAAAAATCCCAAAACGTGTTTGCCCCTTTATATGTACACGGCACCAAACATCATCTCCAAAAAGATGAGTAGGCTATTGTGCATAATGAAAGGGGTTCTGGGAACCAGAATTTAGTTTTTTGGTGAACAATATCATTTTTTGCACCTTTATTCGATACGAAGGATGTTTATGAAAATTCTAAAACCTTATTGTACATCTACAGGACACCATAAACTGTACTAGTACTCGTATCTTTCAAAACATGATTAGGCTTATTGGTAAATGAAAGAGGAGTTCTTTGAAAACAGTTACCATATAGAAAACATCTTAATTACCCTCGTTTTGCAACCAGGTTAAAATTGAAAATTCCAAATTCTTATAAAGTTTGTGCATTTAAATGATATCATTTTAATAATATAAAAGATAAATTGGATTCCCCTGTAAGTAAAAGAAGGTTTTGAGGAAGTAGAAAGTGTGACAGACGGTTGGACGGACAGATAAGGGAAAAATATATTCCCTTACTTTCTTCATAAGGTTCTGGTATAATTAAATTATAGTTTTTAGGAACAATTAATGCTTAAAGAAAATCAGAAATTTATTTTTATATCTTACTTTGCACATTTTGCAGAATAGACCGATCCAATAAGAAAAACACATATAAAGTTAATGATTCTCAGGTTCATATGTCAATAAATTCGGCAAACTGAATCAATGATGTGCTATTCGAAATATAACTTGAAATAAAAACAAGGAAGGATATTTTTCATTCATTAAGGATATTGATTTCCGGTTATTTATATTTCTAAACAAATTAAAGCAATATGGAGTGTTAAGAGTTTTGCGGACATAAAGTTAATTACTTATTCAAGTGCTGGAAAAACCTGCAATATAGTTTGATAATAGAAAAATCACGTAATGCAGAACTACAGAGAACTGAGTGATACCAACAGGTTGATTTCGATAATTTTTTCATCTTTTTAAAGTTAAAAAAAATTAATCAGAGTTTACACCAGAAAACATTAAATCCCCCTGAGCCATTGTCCTTGAACTGTGCAATGACTTTATATACCGGTACATTAAAATTCGCTGTTATTTGTCATCATGTTTTACATCACACAGATGGGGGTTCTTTTGTGCCAGTTCACTCAGAAGTAGTTGCAAAGTAATAGCATATAATATCCGAATAATATATATGTATCAATATATGAAGTATGATGACTTACAAAAATCAAGCTTCATAATCTGCTGGAATAAACAGATCTAGAACAAAACCGGACGTCTAAATTCATCAGCTGTGGAATCAGGTGCAATAAAGAATTTATCGCTCTTCTTTGAACAGTCAAATCCGCCAAGACCTAGCTGGAAATTACTACAGCTCCTGAATTCCTTTATAGAACTAAAGCAGGAGTATATGAAAAGCAAGGCACAACAAATATTATGACTGATTGCTTGATTGATTACTTTTGTTTTAGTCCGAAATCGGCAATATTTCAGCCATACTTCGGATGAAAATAATGTGATAGACGCCACGACTATTAAAAAGCAGCGTTTTTTGAGTATTTAAAAATATATTTCCGAATTCTTAGCAGAAATAAATTTTCATCTTGGTAATATTATTTCTTACAAGTATTCCAAAGCGATTTCAAATATTGTGCTCATTTGTTACCCATATGCTTAATGTTTAGACGTGAAAGAGCTCATAGAACATAATTCATCAAATTGAATGCTGGACAACTTGACCCCAAGACAGGTCGCCCCCAAGACAACTCGCCCTTATTCAGGACAAATCGCCCGAAAATAAGGACAACTCACCCCGACTCAAGACAAATCGCCCCCTGTTTAAGAAACCAGAAACATTAAATATTCTATACAGAGATTTGAATTCAAATTGTTTCTAGAAAATGAAAATAGACATCTGAAAATAAATTTTCTCATTCTATTGTAAACGAAACAGAAATACAATGTATTAATAATTTAAACACTATCACTAGTATTGTTGCTAATGGCACTTTTTATTTATATCTTCGCTAAATTCTTACATTTATTTTACACTTTCATCACAAAACCTAAATAAATGTAATTTTCAGAGCTTGCATGCTAAAATTTTCCAACACATTGAAACTGCTTTGGAGCTTGGGTACGATACGCCAATTTTAAAAAACTTGATACATGTATTCGTAATTTCGGGCATGTACTTATTAAATTAGTTATCACTTTGAAGAATTTACATTTCAGTGTATCAAATATCTACATGTAACATGCCAGTCAACCAAAATAAGTTTGAGCCATACTTCGGATGAAAATAATGTGATAGACGTCACGACAATTAAAAAGCAGCGTTTTTGATTATTTTACTATATATTTCCGAATTCTTATTTTTCTTTGATTACCGGTATTCTTTATCAAGTATAGTTACTCCATTTTGAAAGAATGAAACAATGTACGATTTACTAAATGTCATAATTAGATAGCGTAATTAATTCGTTCAATTATGTAAATCGCACTTCACCTGAGTATACCCGATAAACCAGACCTATTTCATAGCGGTCCGGATTTCTATCTTTATTAGTGTTTATATAAATTTCCAACTCAATATTGAACTTTGTAAATATATGGTGTTTAGTAGTTTCGTGGTAGTGCTAGTTATTTTTTGTTTCTCTTTTGTTCTCATGACTTTTCAACTTTTTTTTTCTTTGTCCTGAGGAAGGGACAGGGCGTCCCGAAAATTTTACAATTTTTATTGTTCGTGTCGTCGGTCATTTTTAGTGCTTTATATAAATTTCCATCCGTGACCTTGTATCTACTTAGTAGATCCGACAATTAGGATATACAGTGTTGTTGGTTTTGTTATTGCTTTATATATATATATATATATATATATATATATATATATATATATATATATATATATATATATATATATATATATATATATATATATATATATATATATATATATATATATATATATATATATATATATATATATATATATATATATATATATATATATATATATATTCCTTAAACTTGTTTTTTTAAACCAGTATAAAAACTTGTGGTTCGTTATCGTACATAAATGAAATCGAGAAAAAAAGTGTTTTTGCCTGGTTGATAATTTTCAAACTGGCATCCATTGATAAAATCACATATGTCCTCGGTACAATTGCATTTTTGAAGACAATCTTCCCCAAAGTCAGGAAAAATACATCTGTACATGCATTCAGCTCCGGTATATCCAATGGGACATTCTATAAAATATTGAATATTTAAACAATAATTGCTGAATGACTAATCAAGACATTAATTCTTTTTTTTATATTTTGCCAATTCACTTTACCTTACTTCGAATTCTCTATAGAATGATTCTCCTTTAATAGCACTGTGCATTGTGAATACTTGTCATTAGAAAATACATGTATGTTGTTTAAGTAACATGTGACAATCAAAAGATAACACAGTGACATTGTATGCGGAGAAATATTTTTCTTTTAAATTGGATAATAATAATAAATAGAAATACAGTGTACTTACTCTCACACTTGTTTGATTTTACATTTAACATATAACCAGAACAGCAATATTTTTCACCTTCTCTGCTACAAAAGAGTGCGTTTACTTATAAACAATGAATGTATTGCACGCTGAAAAAAACTATTATCTCATTAGAAAGAAAAATCTACTAACTTACATGTTATTGTATATCAGATCAGTGATATAATGATAAAATAGAGATTTTTTCGAGAATATAACCGTGTATAAATGCTTTTAAAAAGTTATGCCTTAAATATGAAAACAAAATGAAAAATACTTTAATTAAAAAAAGAATTTAAAAAAATACATGAAAACCAAGGAAAAGGAATTTTTTTGACACGGGAAAAGGTCCAAAGAAAAGAACCCCAAACCGAGCAATACGATGTTATTTTACGTCATCATTATCAGAAATCAGAATCAAAGATTATAATTATCGTTTAGTAAAATGATATAAAAATTGCATGAATTTTATACACTGCGTATGTATCCCATTAACTCCACCTTGACAATTTTAAGTAAAGATCCAAAGAAATGAACCATTAACACTTATATAAATGGACATTTTACCAATAGTAGTAATTTTCAGCCAGAATTTTTAGCGAAAAAACATTTTTTTCGACACCCTATCCCTCCATTTTACCCCAAGTGATAAAAATAAAAATTCTATAAATGATTATATTTTACCCAATAGCATAGAGATCTCCAAATAATGAGTAGGTTATTGTGAAACATGAAATGGGTTCTCAGAACCAAGATACGTATTTATATTTTTTGGTGAAGAAAATTATTTTTATCACCTTCATTCAACCGCAAGGATGTAATTGTAGTAACTAGTGTAAATAATGTAAACAAATACTCGTATCTTCCAAAAGAAGCTCGGGCTTATGGTTAAAATGAACGAGGAGTTTTTTGAAAAAGGTTTCCAAATAGAAAACGTCTTCATTTTCCCCGCTTTGCAAACAGGTTAAAATTATAAAATCCAAATCTTATTGTTCACCTATAGCATACCAGTTTTTATATTCTAAAAGATAAATCGGATATTCCTTTAAGTTAAAGAGGATTTTGAGGATGAAGAAAGTGTGACAATCGGTCTGATGGACAGACGAGGTAAATTAATATATATCCACAGTTTCTTCATAAAGTTCTATGAAAATCAAAGAATAGTTTTTAGCAACAATTAATGCTTAAAGATAATTTGAAACGTATTTTTATGACTTACTTTGTACATTTAGTAGAATAGACTGATCCAATAAGAAATGTTAATATAAACTTAAGATTCTTATGTTCATACATTAAGTGTAAAAAAAGCGGCAAACTAAATCAATGATGTATTACTGGAAATAAAACTTGAAAACAAGGAAGGATAAACATTGTTGATTAAGGAAACGGATTTCCGAATATTTGTTTTTTTAAACAAATTAAAAAAATATGGAGTGTAAAGAGCTTTGCGACCATAAATTTAATGATTAATTCACGTGGTGGAAAAAACTCCATATAGTTTGATGAAAAAAAAAATCACATAATGCAGTATTACAAAGAACTGAGTAGCATTAACAGATAGATTTGGATAGTTGTTGTCATTTTTAGCTCACCTGAGCCGAAGGCTCAAGTGAGCTTTTCTGATCAAAATTTGTCCGTTGTCTGTCGTCGTCGTCGTTGTCGTCGTTGTTGTCGTCGTTGTTGTCGTTAACTTTTCACATTTTCATCTTCTTCTCAAGAACCACTGGGCCAATTTCAACCAAACTTGGCACAAAGTATCCTTGGGTGAGGTGAAGGGGATTCAAGTTTGTTCAAATGAAGGGCCACGCCCTTTTCCAAGGGGAGATAATCATGAATTTGTTAAAAATTAATGGCATTTTTAAAAAATCTTCTTCTCCAGAACCGCTGGGTCAGGAAAGATGAAACTCATGTGGAAGCATCCTCAGGTAGAGTAGATTCAAGTTTGTTCAAATCATGACCCCCGGGGCAAGGGTGGGGCCAAAATGGCCGACCCAAGTTTTACACAGGAATATATAGGAAAAATCTTTAAAAATCTTCTTCTCCAGAACCACTGGGCTAGGAAAGATGAAACTCATGTGGATTCATCCTCAGGTAGTGTAGATTCAAGTTTGTTCAAATCAAGACCCCCGGGGCAAGGGTGGGGCCAAAAT